ATATGCACACACATCAATGAATAAGGACAAAATATAATATGAAAAACGTGTTCATTAATTGATCCCTGTCCATTCTGTGGGTTCACAATGCAAGATTATTTGGGGAAATAAAATGGCAGATGATCAAAGTAGGGTAAATCTTTTCTCTCATCCCCGAAGGAGATTGTGGAGATAAACTGGTTAATTTTTGTGCAGTGCTTAAAAAAGTGTGAAATGGTGGTGATGTTTACTGCCGTTATTCTTTTTTTAGATCACAACGCTTGCAATGAGATACAACTTGTGTACGATTTTGAAATCATAATTCCATTGTCTGCTGCATTTGAGCCACTATATAGCGTATATGTACTGTCTTATAATTACATTCCCTTCATTTGTTTCTTAATTTTTAATTTCCTATACTAGAAGAAGAGGGAAGGAAGCTTATTACATTTTTATGTATCATTCCTTTTTGCAATCTTTCATTTATATTTGTCAGCTGCATTTGACTTAAAGAAGGGATTTCTTCTGTTTTAGAATATATACTACACGGAATTAGCATTGTTCCCAGAAGTGTAATGAGTATTTTATAGTAAAAGTAGAAGGAAAATGTCCCTGCCACAAATAAGAAGTGACAGCAGCGAGGAATAGTTTTGGTGTGAATAAGTTCCTAAAATGTGCTTTTATTCTGTGAACGTGGATGCTAAAATTTCTTAATTTGTGTGTCTTTCTGTTCAGCCAGCAATACAGGTATGCACAGAAGGCAAATCACTGACCTTTTAGACCAAAGCATTCAGGTACATTCCCAGTGTTTTGTCATCACCTCTGATAATCGTTACATCTTGGTCTGTGGCTTCTGGGACAAGAGTTTCCGAGTTTATTCTACCGACTCAGGTAACGTATTTTTAAAATATGGGAATGACCTAACAGATTTTTCTGCTCATCGTCAACCTACTGTTTCAAATAAAGAAAGAATGGGGAGCAGGGAGGGAAAATGGAGTGTGTGTTTATTCCCCTATTAATAATATTTGTCATATCTTTTCTTACCTGCTGCTACTCTGTATTGTATGCTATCATTTTTGTGGAATGATGGCAAATGAAAGAAGGAGCTCTTGTTTAACCGTAACATCACACTTCAAATCTATATGACAGGCCTGCCTGTTCTTACACTGTAGTTTCCACAAGTAAATGAGTTTTTGTGAAGCTTTGCATACCAGGAGAATTAATTGTTCTTAGAGTGATTACCTGAATTTAAGTCTGGTTGGTTTTCAGCACCAGAGAATTTTTTTTTGAGGAAATACAGGCAAACACCACAGAATAAGAACAGAAGCGAAGTCTTGAAATCTGGTGAAAGAATACTTATGAAAGCCTTTAAAAGCTATGCTACAGTAGAAAAATTGATTTGGAGCCCCTGAATTCTTTCATATAACATAAACTGATCGATAGAATGGGCAGCAGTTAAATTAGTCTGTCAGCTGGCATGTATCCAAACCGTTGAAGTCATGCATGTGTCATGCTAAATAGAAAAGAATCTTTCAGTGTAAGAGCTACAGGAATTTAAAAGCCATGGAGCCCCAGAAAAAAAATAGGTATGATTTTTTCACTTTCATTATCTTATAATGGGAATAGCAGCCTCACTGCAAGGTACTTCTTTGGGATTAATGACCCAGTGTGGTTAATGTGTGTGTGCCATCAAGCTTTGCAGTAGGTTATTAATCCCTGGGGAATATCCTACATGTTTGTCATCATTTCTTAAATATATTAGTTAATAGTATTTTTCACACTCAGCAAACCAAAATGTTTAACGAAACAGGATGGTCTTTAATGAAAATCTGTTAAGACTAGATCACGTGGCATATTTTAGCATATCTGTCATTTTTGCAATTTTAAAGCCTTAAGTATAAAGGAGAAGTTCCATTTACTCCATATTGGCTGCCTACAATTCATTATACAGACAGCTTGTTAGACTGTTCTTGGTTTAATTTTCTCAATGATGAAAATAAATTTACATAAAACTGTGAATTTAAAGTAGATCTTAGAAAAGTTAGCTAGCAGTAATAAATATTCAGTGTATATTCTTGATTTATATGAATAGCGAGCTAATTCTTTTATGTCGAAGGATATATTTTACTTTACACCTGTGGAAAGAACTTGTATGATTTTGGTAGCTTTGCTCTGGATCAATCTGAACTACAGATAGCTTACTAAGTTATGTCCTCTGTGTGCAAGTCAGATACACCAGGCATCTCGTTACTACCATAGCTAATTATGGTGTAAGCCAAAATACAGTTGTCAAAAATTTTGCAGAAGATTTGTCTTCTGTGTGTCTCCTGTTTTGTCAGTATAGCAACTCTAGCTCTAGCTTAAGTGGATTCAGATGTACTCTGTTTTGCTTTGAATTAAAATGAGAATATAGTAGTGAAATACTCTGGGATCGGCGGAACGACGAGGGAAAG